GCTAGATGACGACGGAGAAGCTGGGTCGGTCGGACAAGACCACCTTTGAGGCTGATCTTGAGCAGCTCATGCAGCAGATCGATGTCATGAAGAGGTTGGTCAGACTGCACTGGCAGGCTCGTGCTCACAAAAAGGGGCAGTAGCAACTGGGCTCGGCGTGTCAGGAAAGCGTCTAGCCGAAGGATCATGCTGCTGGCGCCAGACCCCTCCACCCGTGCCCTCTCCACTGCACCTCACTGTATATTTGAACAGCCAAACAGAAAAGATGATCAAGGCCACCAATACCTGGCTCGAACCCAATCCTAGTATGTCTTGGACCTGCCTGTGCCTCTGGCGTCTCCGTGACACTTGGGGCGAAGCCCATGAATCTGACCCCCACCGCCCAATTCTTGTCCGCAGATCGCCGGCTTGAGGCTTCACTGGCCAAGCGCTTCAGTCGCGGCTCGACCCAGCGTGCCACCGAGGTAGGCAGCCCATCCAAGTGGAGATGCGTGTCACTTGGACCTTGAGAAAAAATGGCACTTTCCTGCCGCAAAGACATTTTATTCTCATGACCGCTGGCCACGACCCCCTGTCTGATTCGGTCGGCCTCAGCTCGAAGCCCTTGGGCTCACGTGCCTGGAAGCTGCCGAAGCCTTTGGAGCCCATTCGCACTACGGTTCGACCTCTGCCACCTTGCTCGACAAATGCTTGAACAAATGACCCAACCCCCTGGGTCAAGCCAAGCCTCCGCCCAAAGGCCGATGCGTTGGCTATTGTGCCTGCATCTCGCACCCTCTCAATCTTCTCTCTTATCTCTCTGAACGTCTGTAGCGCAAGCGCTGGCGGCCATGGGCCGTGTGGACACCGAGCTGGGCGAACGGTTTGTTTTGACCACAGCAAACTATTGTTTGAACCTTGCCAACAAACAAAGGGTCTCACCTAACCTGGCCTGCTCCGCCGCCTTGCAGTTGGCATCACCTGACAGCAGTCGTGAATGAGCGGTTCCAGACTCCCATGCGCACTTTCATCTCATCCGATATCAAAAATGCCAATGTATGTCTCTCCCTGGCTCGACAACGCCATGCATCAGTCGATCAATTACATGCCAAAGCCAAAAAGCAAAGATTGCCTGAATCACTCCTGAGCGCA